TACCATTATAAATATTGCTATTCAACATTAGTTTTTTGATTATAGAGGGTAATATTGTTATGATTTTAAACTTCCGTGATAAATTTGCCTCCCAAAAACTTCAGAGGAAAAGCTTTAGAGATAAATTTATACCTCAACCCTAAAAATTTATTAAATCCTTCTTACAAATATAATTTTCAAAGAGACTTTTTGCAATTTTCTCAAAGATTTGCAAAGAGATGAAATGAACCAAGCTCTTCTCACTCTTAATTTTCAATTTACGTTTCTAATCTTATATTTATGTTGCGGGTCAAAGGAACTTATGGTAGACTATTTGGTTGAAGTGGCAAAATCTACTTTAAATTCCAATGTGAGAAAAATTATCCTATAAATTAATCCACCCCACATCCAAACAAACAACAAAACAACCATACCTTATCATACGAACCAAAATCCAAATATCACAACCTTATTGATTGGAGTTTCCATGGCGAAATCACCTCACATCGCCTTCATTTCCAGTGCTGGGTTCACCCATCTTTTCCCAATTATCGAATTCTCAAAGCGTCTCCTTCAACTTCACCCAGATCTTCACATCACTTGCATCATTCCAATTCTCGAAACTCTTCCTTCTTCCTCTGAATCTTACCTTCAAACTCTTCCTCCAAACATTCACTCGATCCTTCTTCCTCCAGTTCACAAGCACGACATGCCTGAAAATGTTCATCGTGGAGCTCAAGTTCAGCTCACAGTCACTCTCTCTTTGCCATATATTCGTCAAGAATTGAAGTCCTTAATCTCCAGATCTTCCGTTGTTGCTTTGGTTACTGATTGTTTCGCACATGAAGCTCTGGATTTTGCTGCAGAGTTCAATGTGTTATCTTACATGTACCTTCCTTATGCCGCTATGATTTTCTCTCTCTACTTCTGTAACTCCATGAAGCTTGGGGATTCAGAGTTCAGAGACGCACCAGAATCCGTAGAAATTCCACCTTGTATACCAGTTCGTGGCCGAGAGATCGCAGATTCACTTTATGATGGCCTCGTTCGTAAGCAGTTCTTTGAACGTGCCAGGAAGCTAAGATTAATCGACGGTGTTCTATTCAACAGTTTCTTAGAGTTAGAAACTGAAACAATTAGAAACCTGCAAGAAGAAACCAAAGGAAAGAAGCCTCTGATTTATCCGGTTGGACCCATTATACAAAGTCGATCCAATAATGAGACAAATGGGTCGAACTTGGATTGCTTAACCTGGTTGAACAATCAACCACCAAAATCTGTTGTTTATGTTTCATTTGGGAGTGGAGGAACATTATCTCAAGATCAACTCAATGAGCTAGCTTCTGGGTTAGAACTAAGTGGTAAGAAATTCTTGTGGGTTGTGAGACCTCCAAGTAATGATGTTAGTGCAGCTTATCTTTCTGCTTCAAGTGAGAACCCTTTAGATTTCTTACCAAATGGGTTCTTAGAGAGAACCAAAGATCAAGGTCTTGTTGTTCCTTCATGGGCACCTCAAATTCCAATCCTTAGTCACAATTCTGTTGGTGGATTCTTAAGTCACTGTGGTTGGAACTCCACAATGGAGAGTATCGTTCATGGCGTTCCAATAATAGCTTGGCCTCTGTTTGCAGAACAGAAGATGAACGCAGCCTTTTTAACAGATTGCTTGAAAGTGGCTTTATGGCCTGAGCCTAACCAGAGAGGGATGGTGGAAAGAGATGAGATAGCTAAGGTTATAATAAGATTCATGGAAGATGAAGAAGGAAGACAGGTTCGTAAAAGAATGGAAGACTTGAAGGATTCTGCTGCTAATGCACTGAAAGAAGATGGGTCCTCTACACAGACTCTGTCTCAGTTTGCGATCGATTTGAGGGATAGAACACGAGGGAATTATTGATGTTTGAATATTATATAACATGTAATTTCAATATTAAGATGAATATTTCAGGTTTTATTAGTTATTTTATAAGTGTTGACGATTTCATATATGGGTAATATTTGCTGGCTTGTAAAAGAGCTGAACAGAGGAAAACAGAGGATGAGTTCATTTTTTATGAAGCAAAAGTTGAGATTGTGACGTGCAACTAAAGAGATGAAGATACGAGAATTATGGAGGATAATAATAGCACATTCCTTTAGCCTCGATTTTCCCGGATGTGGATCCTCCCAAAAGTTAGAATTCCCCTCTCTCATTTCAGAATCTCATAACTATTACTGAACAAGAATAAATTATTCAAATCCAACATTTTGAAGAATGGATGTCTACCCCCTCCTTTTTATGTAATACTATATAATAATAACTTTATAAAATAGGAAAAATTAATTGTTTTGGTCTCTATAGTTTTTACTTATTTGTAACTCAATCCCTATAGTTTGACTCAATACAACTCAATTCCTCTAGTTTTGACTTGGATGTAACTCAGTCTTGAAATTTGACTTGCTGCAACTCGGTCCCTATAGTTTTAACCATTTTATAATTTAGTCCCTCCTTTTATTAGATATATAATTTTATTTTTCAAAAACACAAGGACTAAATTATAAAATAGACAAAACTATAAGGACTAAGTTGCAGCGAGTCAAACTTTAAAAACTGAGTTACAACCAAGTCAAAACTAGAGGGACTGAGTTGCATCGAGTCAAAGTATAGAGACTGAGTTACAAATGAGTGAAAACTAGAGGAACCAAAAGATTAACTTTCCCTATAAAATATTAAATTTGAATCATTCTTTTTTTTTTAATCCAACGACGGAGATGTGGTTTTGAGAGGAAAAGAAGGGAATCCAAATCCATTTTTCTTGCCTACTCGGAGGTTTTTCTTTTTCAGATGAAATCTACTAAAAAATAATACTCCCTCCTGTCTTAAATGAAGAGTTGCTTTTTTTATTTTTAATGCGGAATTGTATTAAAAGACAAAGATATTTACAGGAGATTATGATGGATACAAATTGTGAATAAGGTAAGTGTAGGTTTCCATCAAGTAATAAAGAGTAAATATAGAGTATCGTTCCCATGAAGAATCAGACAAAATTGTAGTTAGACAATAAAGTTCTCCTTTTCAATTAAGTTAAGCAAGCTAAATTATGGTTGATCGGATAAAAAAAATAAAGACAGAAAAAATTCAATATTAAAGGCAACCTAGAGTTACTAATCCCTTACTAGTTTCATAGATTTTTTCTTTTATTTAACTAATTAATCTCAATATTAATTTAGTTAATCTAGAGTATTTATAGCTAACAGTGTCTTTCGATCCACTTATAACCCTCTTCTAAATAATAAGATTATGTCTAACTCAAATACTTAAGAAGATAAATTAATTTCACTCCTCATCAATTATATGGGGTTCCTAGATATATTTCTATCCTACTCACAAATTAGATAAAAATCTATGGAAGATAATAATAGCATATTCCTTTAGCCTCAATTTTCCCGGATGTGGATCCTCTCAAAAGTTAGAGTTCCTCTCTCTCATTTCAGAATCTCATAACTATTAGTGAGTAAAAATAAATGATTCAAATCCAATATTTTTATGTAATACTATATAATAATAATTTTATAAAATATTAAAACTGAATCATTTATTTATTTTTTAATCCAACGACAGAGATGTGGTTTTGAGAGGAAAAGGAGGGAATCCAAATCCATTTTTCTTACCTACTCGGAGGTTTTTCTTTTTCACATGAAATCTACTAAAAAATCATACTCCCTCCTGTCTTAAATGAAGAGTTGCTTTTTTTTTTTTAATGTGGAATTGTATCAAAAGACAAAGATATTTATAGGGGATTATGATGCGTACAAATTGTGAATAATGCAAGTGTACATGTCTATCAAGTAATAAAAAGTAAGTATAGAGTATCGTTTTCACGGAGAATCAGACAAAATAGTGGTTAGGTATTAAAGTTTCTCTTTTCAATTAAGTTAAGTAAGATGAATTATGGTTGATCGGATAAAATAAATAAAAAAAAATTCAATATTAAAAGCAACTTAGAGTTACTAATCCCTTACGAGTTTTATAGATTTTTTATTTTATTTAACTAATTAGTCTCAATGTTAATTTAGTTAATCTAGAGTATTTATAGTTAAAAGTGTTTTTCGATCCACTTATAACCCTCTTCTAAGTAATAAGCTTATCTAACTCAAATATTTAAGAGGATAAATTAATTTTACTCTTCATCAATTATATGAGGCTCCTACATATATTTCTATCCTACTCGAAAATCTAATAAAAATCTAATCCCATATTACTCAATCTTAGAGCCTAATTAAGATTTTCTTTTTCAAGATTAATCCCAATACTCAAACTCATATTTAATGGTGACCAAATATTAAATAGATATATTAAACCAAGATTAGGTAAGATTAACATCAACTATAATTAATTAAATGAAAACAGAGTCTAATCTATTAATAAGGTCATAACTATTCTAGATTAAAGAAAACTAACCGCACATGGCTAAAATAAAACCCATAGTATAAAAGAAGTTTATGTTGTTAATCCTTAGTTGCGTGGCCTTCCCGTGTGCGTCTCTAGAATATCCTTCCATCTTCATCTAGGATCTGCACGTGATTCTCCTCATGTATCTCTATACTATATTCAAAACGTTTTATGCATATCAACATCATCTGCTTCACCGTTCTATCCTCTAGAATATCTTTGACACATACTATTCCTTGATTCTTTAACGCGACCCACGGCTGCTTCTCATCTCCACTCTTCACGCCTCTTCATAAAATATGTATATAATTATACATATTCTTTCCTAACTCTCCTTTCATTGTTTAAAATGTTTTTTGCAAAATAAACAATTAATAATTTGAGTAGATTTTGCATAAAGATTCATTTTTATCCCATAACTAACTGAAGAGGAGAAAATATATCAATTTTTTATTAAATAAGTATAAGATATTCATCAATTTAACCAAATATATTTCAATATCTAACCTATTTAATTATAAAATACTCCTCCGTCCTAAATATATGATCCTTATACATACTAGTATAAAATTTTATACTAAAAGAAAAAAGCAAAGCCAGAGAGACATTAAAAGCTAGCAGCAGTTGTTTATGAAGTCATGCTTATATTTCCACGCTAAGTTCCAATAAGTCTGTTCATCCTCCCACTTGGGTTCCGTGATCAGTTTGTAAGCTGATCTTACGGTAAATTCACCCTTGCTCTCTGGCTTCCAAAATCGTCTATCTGAATTGCTTTGATTCTAAAGTAATATATGCTGGGGGGGGGGGGAAGGCACTACGACCTTTGTTTTCTTCTTTCATCTCAAAGTTGTATTTCATTTTTCCTTTGCTTGCCCTTACTATTTAACTCTCATTTGTTAAGCTCCCACCCATTATAGGCATGCCAGGATTCTCCCATCATTTCTACAAGACGCTGGCTCTCAATCATTTCAGTCTGTTGCATCCTTCATTTCACATTTTTTGCTTCATTCTCAACTACTTGAGTGTGTACGTATATGCAATTGGGGATGCCTCTGTTAAGACGAGACTTGGAAAAGAACTTTCAATTCAATATCAACAGAGGAAGCCAATTCAGAACTTTGAGCATTGAAAATTGATAAACAAACACAACAAACTCATACAGAAAAGAAAGTTGACAAATTTCAATCCTTCTTACATTGCATTTAAATTACTTTTCCACTTGAGTGCAACTTCAGACAGCGCTTTTGTAGAAGAACCATCTTCTTTAAGTGCATTAGCAGAAGCATCTCTTAAATTTTTCATTCTCTTGCGAATCTCCTTACCTTCTTCACCTTCCATCAAAAGCTTTACCAGTTTAGCAATCTCTTCCCTTTCCACTATGCCATTTTCATTAACTTTAGGCCTCAATGCAACTTTTAGACCATCAGTTAACAAAACAGCATTCATTCTCTGTTCTGCAAAAAGTGGCCACGCTATTATCGGCACTCCCTTCTGTACACTCTCAAGTGTGGAGTTCCAGCCGCAATGACTCAAAAGCCCACCAATGGACCTATGGCTAAGGATTGAAACTTGAGGTGCCCATGAAGGAATAACAAAACCTTGCTCTCTGGTTCTCTCCAAGAAACCTTCTGGTAAGAAATCTAAAGGATTCTCATTTGTAGAACCAAGGTAAGCAGCATTCACTGAGTTACTTGGTGCTCTAAGAACCCATAAGAATTTCTGGCCACTGCTTTCCAAGCCAAAAGCTAGCTCATTGATTTGTTCTTGAGATAAGGTCCCACCACTTCCAAAAGAAACATATAAAACAGAGCTTGGTGGTTGATTCTCCAACCACTTCAGACACTCTGACCCATTTTCTTCACCATTTGACCTGGTTTGAGTGTTGGGTCCAATCGGATATACAGGCGGATAACCACTTTCTTTCTGTGTCAAGGCTCTTACAGCACCTTCTTCCATCTCCGTGAAGGTGTTAACCAATAATCCATCAACAGAGAACAATCTCTTGGTTCGTTGAAGAAACGATGTGTAAGATTCACTGGACCGATTTTGAAACGGTTCAGGGAGATCTCTTCCATAGAGTGGGACACAACCTGGGATCTGGATAGGTTCTGGTACGTCTCTGAACTCACCGGAAATCTCTTCATGAAGAGTAGGGAGATAGAAGCAAAAGGAAAGAGTTGAAGCAGCTGAAGGGAAGTAAATGAAAGACGAAGTATTGAGTTCTTTTGCGAAGCTTAATACCTCAGCTGCAAAAGGGTCTGCAACTATGGCAGCCAAATGAGATTTGGAATTCAAGGACTTCAATTCTTGTTGTAAAGATGGCAAGGATTTGGCCACTGTGAGTTGAATTTGGACTGCTATATTGGCATCTTTGGGTACGTCTTGTTTGGAGATAGGAGGAAGAAAAATGGATTGGATGTTTGAAGGAAGATTCTGAAGGTAGGCTACGGAGGAAGGAGGAGGGGATTCGAGTGAGGGGATGATGAAAGTGACATGAAAATCTGGGTGAAGATGAACAAGTCGCTTGGAGAACTCAAGAACAGGGATCAGATGGCTAAAACCTGGACTGGGAACAACGGCAATGTGTGTTGTTTTCTCCATGGAAATTTCAAAACAAAGCCTTGAGATCGATGAACACTTGAATCTGACGTTTGTATATCTGTTGATTTCTGGGTTTGAAGTCTTCGGGATTTGATGCGCTTTATATAGAAGACAGGTTATGCTGCGATTACTTGTTCGGAAAGCTTGTCTTCTTAACCGTAGAAATTTCTCGACATGCCTAGGACGTTGGGACCCAGCGGCAGGTTGTTTTTTCTCTTCGATTCTGATACTCCAAATTGTGATTCAAGGTGGAAGTAAGTGCTGATGTAAGTGATCACGTGGATTGGGATTTCTAGAAAATAATTCTCCGACAAGAGTAATGAAAGGAGTTATAATTGGATACATGAACTGCTTTGGTTACAAATTAAACGTGGAATTGACCACCTCGATCATGAAACAAAATTTTTCAAAGAAAAAGCGACTTTACTGATTGAACTTCAAAGAACATCTGGTTCCTCTTTTGTTTTGTTTTCCTTTTTAACTTAACAATTCAACAAAGGTTTAAATTTGTAATCTCCCTCAAACAGATCAGGTGCTTAAAGTGTCCAAAAGTTTCAAGTTTTGACTTTTGCCGCAAATAATTGTGTAGTTGGATGCCAAAAAAGAAAGGGGGAACCAATTGTAACAAAATTTTTTCCATCAAACTTTTGTTTCTTTTTTTTTTTTCCGGGAATTAAAGTAACATTCATGCAAAACTATTCAGAGTATTTGTGCGAATAATGATTTGCTCCATCTTTTGAGAGAAAAAGTTTTGCGTGGGCATTGAAATTTGGAAGAATTTCGCTACACCCTTCTATTTGTCTCCAAAAATCAAAATGAAATTGATTTTTGTGGGTAAAAAATAATTGATATTCTTGCATTTTTTTAATTAAAAAAAATCCAACTATCGATGAGTGTTGAAGCTCCAACCACCAGCGGACCCCAAGCACCAATGCCAGCAACCAAAGCTGCAGCCTCCGAGAGCTGGCGATGACCTTTTTTTTTTTCCAAAAAAAAAAAAAGGAGTACCAGTATCTTTTCACTCCATAAAATTTAATTTCATTTTGGTCCTTAGCATGCAGTGAGATTTTGCCAAAATTTATGAATGTTTGGAATTATTTTGGGAACTTGCGTTTTGTTTAACATCAATGCTAAGCTTAGGCATGTGATGCATTGGTATTTGAATTTAGACATTTCGTACAACCCCACGGAGCATTTTTACATAAACAATATGTAATTATATAAGGAGGGTCCCGTGCTCAGTACCAAAGCCCTTATTTTTACTGATGGTGAATACTTTGGGTTTAAAAAAAAAGGAGGAATAAGCGGCCTAAAAGTAATTTTACTATGATCGGCCCAATTATAATTAAAATATATAAAAATATTTAGACATAATTCTAAGGAATAATATTGAAATAAACCAACATTCATTCACAAGTAAATAAAGCATTCGCATTTAAACTACACATAACCTAATAAAACAGAGTTATTAAAGTATAAATATGGTTAATTGCTATTATTATTATAAATTTAAAATGGCCAAAGTATACTTTTAGTTCTTTAACTTTATACAAGGTTTTATTTTGGTCTCTTAACTTTAAAAAATAAACTTTTAATCCTCTAACTTTAAAATAGTTAACAAAAAAAGATAATACTAAACTTTTGAATATTGATAAAACATTACTAAATGCTAATATATTAAGTTTAATTTTCAAAACAACTATGATTGTTATAAAAAAAATTATCATTTAAGACTAATAATTTTAGCATTAACAGAATAAAAGTATGCTTTTTAAAATTAAAGGACTAAACTAAAACTTTACATAAAGTTAAATGACCAAATATATATTTTAGGCATTTAAAATAATCTTGTTTCGGACTTAACAAGAAAAGGAAAAAAAAATTTTAACGTAATCAAATCCGTCCAAAACTTTGGACTAGAAGGCCAATGTGCTACTATTCCCAATAAGCTAGTATGCTTGGCTAACTTAAATTTTAGTACAACGATACTTTTTTTTTTGGAAAAATTAATCTTTTGGTCCCTATAATTTTCAGTCATTTGCAACTCAGTCCCTATACTTTGACTCGGTGTAGCTCAGTCCCTCTAGTTTTGACTCGGTTGTAACTCAGTCCTTGAAGTTTAACTCACTGCAACTCGGTCCCTATAGTTTTGTCTATTTTATAATTTAGTCCTTGTGTTTTTGAAAAATAAAATTACATATCTAATAAAAGGAGGGACTAAATTATAAAATAGTTAAAAATATAAGGATCGAGTTGCAGCAAGTCAAACTTCAAGAATCGAATTACAACGAGTCAAAACTAGAGGGACTGAGTTGCACTGAGTCAAAATATAGGGACTGAGTTACAAATAAGTGAAAACTATAGGGACCAAAAGATTAATTTTTCCATATTTAAAAATCTTTTTTGTTTTTTACAAAAATTTTAGGTAGGAGTTTGGGCTCAACGTAACCCAAGTCAAGGATAAGGTGCTTAAACGGCTCTTCTTAGGCGACATTAATATTAGGCAGAGTGAACCCACAATATATTGTCAGGTGTTAAGTTAGACACTTTCATTCTAAGATGTCTTTCCAAGCGGCGTGATGAGAAATCAAACTCCCCCCTTTGAGTGAGAGGGTGTTGTTCTTATCCCTTTCCAGGATTAGCATGGCCCCTGCACAAGATTGACACGAACAAATCGAGAAATGTTTGTGAAAGTTTAATAACAGTTTCAGCTGAATTTGAGCCCAAATGCACTTGTTGGGAAAGACACTACACATATTTATTAGTATTGTATTTCTCTGACGGCACCATCGTTCAAGTTTTGGTTAGTGGTAATTTCATTAGTTTGGTAAATTTTCATTTTTGGTTTCATTAAGATTTCTTGCCAAAATTTTTGGGTTCTCCCTTATGTTAGTGAATTAAATTAACCAAATGAAGGAACAGTTTTAGTTTATTTTTCTATGGTAGTAAAACTCATAACTTGCAAGGCTTTTTGCAAATTACATGAAAAAATGACCAAGTTGAAGGGGAAAAAGAGAGAAAACTTAAGCTTTAGTGTTTTAATATTTTTTTATTCTTAGTACATATCTCTTGTAAGAAGTTTAGATAGCTTAATTCTTGCATGAAAAATTGGTTTTCAAAGTCTTAAAATAGATTTTTTTTTTTTTACAATTTCCGTTTACAAAATTTCATAGCAATCTAAAATGTTATTTCCCATATACTTAAAACTGAATCTCCATGTCTAATGTGTTAGCTATACTTTATAAAAACTTGTTTTTCACTTCAGGTGTGTTTGGATGAAACCAAACCGTGGTTTGAAAAAGTGATTCTGGAGAAAAGATTCTGGGAAGAATAGATTTTGAAAAGAATAAATGTTATGAAAAAGTGATTTTGAGAAGTGAGAGTGTTTGGATAGTTGTTATCAAAGCACTTTTTATATATATAAATTACTAAAAAAAAGACATAAGTTAATATGATAATTACAAAAAAAATAGATTTTATGATATATTTTAATTTGAAAGAATAAAATTGTTAATAATATATTTTTATTAACATAATTAATAATACATAAGATAATATAATTAATAAATAATTAATATGTATATATATTTATAAAATATAAGATTAAATATGTTTATAAAAAAATATGTTTATAAAAAAAATAACAAGATACATATCCTATAGGGTCTCACACTCTCCCTTTTTTCTCCAAAAGCAAAAATTTTTTGTTTTTTCCAAAACCATGGTTTTAACCCAAAATCACGGTTTGTGCAAATTGAGTGGATATTTGGGTGACTTATCACTCAAACTATAGTTTGAGGTGTCATCCAAACGGTACCTTAACTTGTTATCCATGTCTTTTACTTTAAAAACCCCATTAACACGCTAGCTAGAATTCCCTAGCACGTCTGCCTGGCTTAACTGTCATAAAGCAATCTTGAAGACCAATCTGCGTGCTCACTTACATCATCACTTCCATTAATTTGACTCAAATTTGGACCTTCAGAGTGAAAGGAAAAGAGGAAAACAGCCGCCCGGTGGGTCCCACCACATCCTAGGCAGCAGGTAGGGAGGCCTCTAAAGCTAAAAGATAAGCTTTCCGACAAGTGACATGTGTTTGTCAGACTTGCAAAACTCAGTTTTAGAGTCCAATTTAGTTCAGAAGGTGTTTAGATGAAATCAAATCATAGTTTAGAGAATAGATTTTTGAGAGAATAAGTTTGGTAAAAAAATGATTCTAATAAAATAAGAGTGTTTAGATAGTTGTTATTAAAAATATTTTTTATATGTACAAATTACTAAAAATAACATAAGTTAATATGATAATTATATAAAATATAGATTTTATAATATATTTTAATCTAAAAGACTAAAATTGTTAATAATGTATTTTTTACTAACATAATTAATAATATATAAGAAAATATAATTAATAAATAATTAATATGTGTATGTATATTTATAAAATATGAGATTAAAAATGTTTCCATAAAAAATGAACATTTTTTACCAACAGAAAAATATTATTTTATTTTAAAGATTATATATATAATACCATGATATTTTTTGACAAAATTAAATAAGCACAAATAAAACAATTTATTACTTATTATAATAATTAATAATAAACGCACAACACACACACATTATATGATTCTCTTGAGCTCTTCCTTGTGCTGCGTCTGAAACAATGAAGACAAGAGATGAATAACTGGGGAGAGGCACATCTGTCTGGGCCAAAAAAAAAAAGACACATATCCTATGAAGACTCTGACACTCTTCTTTTTTTCCTAAAAGCAGAAAATTTTTGCTTTTGTCAAAATCATGGTTTCTGGGTCAAAACTATGGTTTTGGTTTTTTTTGTGTTTGGGTTACACCCCAAACCATGGTTTGGGGAATAATCTACCCAAACACCCCCTCCAAAAACCAAAACCATGGTTTTGGGTCAAAACCATGGTTTTGACTCCAAAATCATGGTTTTGGAAAAAGCAAAATTTTTTTACTTTTGGAGAAAAAAGGGAAAGTGTGAGGGCCTATATG